GGTACAAGAGTGCACGAAGGCACCGGAAACATTGGGAACAAACGGAACTGAATGACACATCCTACATTAGGGGTCCATCAAACAAAGTGTTTATTGTACAAACTCATTTACCTTCAGTTGGACTGCAGCAAAGCCCAGCGTGTTTAACGGTTGTATTCTGTTACACATCACACATTTGTAAAAGGCGGCAGTAAAGATTGCGTGTTTACCTGATCTTCCTCCTTGAACTTTGACGACTCATCTTGATTTGAAAAAAAAAGCACTCAAGCAGTTTCCAACAGGGGCGGCTCTGTCGCTGCTCTTGCAAAGTTGAGCGGATCTCAGCTGCAACATCCTGCAGGTACCTCCCTCCCTGACTACACTGCGAGACAGGCTGGAGATATTGATATGCTAATTTCTCTTCAGAATCCTTCCAGGAGAGATGCGAGTTCAGAGGATTCTTGTGGGAAAAAAGCCTGCAAAGATCTAGGAATTTTGCAAGGTGTCCCTCTCTGCTCCCCATCGGAATGTGAGGACGAAGGCTGGGAGAGCCCACAGCTACTGAGCTCCAGACAAGGCAGGACTGAATTTCACAAATCTGACTGGTGTTTTTGCACCAGTTTAAAAGCAGACTTGTCAATACAGGGCTCAAATAAACTGCTGAGATGTAAGTTTCCTGCATTTCAGTCTCCTGTCCACGGTCTGCAACTGAACAAGAACTTGCCCAGATGAGGGCAAACCCCTGTAAAAACAGCCTTGGAGGAGACAACCAGAGTGAAGAAATGAAATAAAAATCTCAAACCTGAGGAGGAGGTGTGGGGGAGTATATGAGTATAGAACACAACACAACTGCCCCATTTAGCCTGTGGCCATTTCTTCGGACAATAGTAAACAGCCTTCACTAGAATCAATTTGCAAACCAGTTTAGGAGTATCAGAACACTTACTGTGAGTGATAATGATCTGAACCTTGTGAGTGACATAACATTTTACAATCTGATACCATAGGATAGGTAACAATCTAAACAACAGACAATAAAAAAACACATAGAAATTCATCCTTGGAAGGTTGTGAGCCACAGATCCAACAGCTTCCAGACCCATCAAACACTGCAGGAATCATTATAATACACAGCAGCCAACTGGCCTCAAGTACAACAGCAGGTCTCAGACTGTGGTTCAAGCACTGCTGCTTAAAATTGGTTAGTAGTGGAAAAATGTGACTCTTCGTGCTTAGACACTTCCTGCAATGACCCAAATAGTACAACCTGGTCACTGCTAATTTATTGCTGGGCAGCTTTTGTAATTCTTAAATATAAAACTCAGACATGTCACGGCAAAATCTGGAAATAACTTCACTCACTGCCCGTGCAAACATGTTTAATGATCACCAACACTCCAAATATGAGGCTCAACCTACTTAAATGGAGCTTTAGAAATATCAGGTCCAGTCTGCGGAATCAGAACGAACTCTGAAATGCCTGCCACTCTGAAACCAGGGACAAGCAACACACTTGAAACAACTGGAGATTTAGGATAAAAAAATATGAGGCACTTCTTTACACCAAGAGTGCTCGCAGAGTTCCACAATTTTACAAGTCGTGTGGAGGACACAGATTCCTCTGGAACATGCAAGAAAAGGTTTCAGGATATTCTACAAACAAAGAAGATAAACACAGACTGAGAGCTGTCCTTTAATTTGCAGTCTCTATTCCGGTTGACCTGAATGGGGGTGTCTAACTTCTGTTTTAGATGAAATACAGATAGGGTGACAGTCTTCTGCTACGTGCCTTGTATGGAACTGTGTCTTGTGAACTCCTAGATCACGGCGTTTTACGTGAAAGGTTCAAATTGCACTTTATTAAGTGTGACCAGACCAATATAAACACTCCAGTACACAGAGATCCCCACACTAGTGTGCACAAAGCCAGAAAATACACCCGCACGATACTTAAAAGTGCTTCCTGACTTTCTCATTCGGACTGGGATACAGGATTGTCTTTGGGACGGGTCAGAAATAGATGTGACACCAGCACAACAACTTAAAAAACAGAATTAATGGAGTCACACAGGTAAATCTGATAAAAATACACACCACTAACGCAGTGCTAACATTTTCTTCCAAATTCTCCTTCATTTCCATTCCATTAAGCAGGTGACTTCTTATTAAATACTGAGCAAGACAAAGTAGAAAAATAACTTGGGCAGCTGAGTGGCTTTCAGCAGCTCATGTCCAGTGACGGGCTGAGAAGCACTGCTTCCCTACTGAGCACCTGACTTGCACTGCAGTGATCAGGCGCGAGCAGGTGGAGCCCCTGGGTCCTGCTGGACATGCTGAAGGCGCCTGTGTACGAAGAGCAGTGGGGAACAGTGGAAAACAGTAACTGTCTACATCCATGCTGAGTCTTTGGTCAATCAACAGAAACAACGTGCCTGGATAAGACTGTCATACACAGGTCTTGTTCCAGGGTCGGGAAAAGGGTATTCAATTGCAGACACCCCGTTAAGAGCAACACAATCAAATGACGATTGTAACTGAAGGAGAGGGAAAATATCAAGGCGGTGGAAGCCAGAAACTGCAGGCCGTCTACAACACTGGCTTGAAAAAAGAAGTCCGACGCCAACGTTCCTCAGCTCCGATCCTCACTTTTAACTGGGAACGTCAACAAGGTAGCGGTTAACGGTCACAATTCAGCTCCTCCCAAACCCAAGTGGGTGACGATGTTAAAAGTTCTATGAAGCCCCCCGCATTGTGGCCCTTGAGGATGAGGGGTGAAGGGCGTAGGGAGACATGAAGAAAGGAGGGAACTGAGGGGAAAGAGGGGAGGGGCAGGTCAAAGGTCAGGAGGCAGAAGAGGAGGAAGGCGAGTAAACGGAGGACAGATTGTAGGTGGAGTTGGGGTTTGGGGGAGGAGGCTGAGGCTGTGGGGTCTGAGCTGCGGGCGAGTCAGAGCTGGCCTCGTCTCCCTCCTCCGAGTCCCACACCTCGCTCTGGAGGTAATTGGCAAAGAGGGCCTTGGCCCGCTGGAGCACCCGGTTCAGATTGTGCTTCCTGACCAGCCGGTCGAAGTGCATGGCCAGCTCATTGTAGTCCAGGTTATTCTTGATAATGTGGTCCCGGTGCTCCAGCAGGATGGATAAGCACAGGAAGAGCATGAAGGGATTGCCCTTGCCGAACTCCTGCGGAGGGGGGAGGGAAGGTGTGGGGGCAGGCTTGTCCTCTTTGTCTGGCACTGGGGTTGATGGGGTGGCAGTCTTGGGTGATGCCGATCTGGTCCCAGGGCAAGGGGATGCCATTGGGGTCTTCCCCGTGGGGGTAGATGGGGATCCTGCCCTACCATCGGAAAAGACAGGGGAAGACACCAACGATCTCCCTGTGGCGGCGGCTGGGGAGCCGACTCTCCCACTGGCCACGCAGGGGGAGGAGCTGGGCCTCCCTGTGGGTGTGGCTGGAGAAGCTAACCTCCTGCCAGCCAGCGAGGGGGAGGAGACAGAGTGCCTGCCAGCGGGTGGGCTCGGGGATACTCTCCCGTTGGCCAGCGAGGGGGAGGAGGTGGGGGAAGAGGTCTGGCCATTGGGGGACCGTCTCCCGCCGCTGGCAGGAGTGGAGATGCTCTCGCCAGGCCTGATCAGGGGGTCACTTTCGCCAGGGTCCTCCTCGCTGTCCTCTGTAGGCTGCCGGGAGGGGAGAGAGGAGCGCCCATCCGGGAGCGGGGAGCCGGGGGAGATGGGGGGCCCTTCCTCCAGGTCGAAACTGTCCCCTTGCCGGGCGCTGTAGTACTTGAACTCCCCAAAGCTGGGCTGCTTTCCCAAGGGAGGGGCTGAGCTGCCCCCCCCTCCTGCTTGCTGCTGCTCCCCTTCCTCTGCTTGCGGCATCGAGACTGGGGTCCCCTGGTCCCCCTCCTCGTCCCCCTCCCCCCGGCCCCTGGACTCCAGCTCCTCCGGCGGCGGTCTCCCCCCGTCCCCCTCCTCCCGCTCGCCCGCCGGGCCAGCCAGCTCCTCCCGAGAGGGCCTGAGCATGTGCCTGCGCCTCTGCTCGCCTTTCCGCCGCCGCCCGGCCTCCTCCTCCTCCTCCTCCTCCTGCGCCGGCCCCAGCAGCTCCACCTCGGTCTCGGGGGGGTCGGGGGGCAGGGAGCTCCAGGTGACCTCCAGCATCCGCAGGGCGTCTTCGAAGGCGAACTCCCTCTTGAGCTCCAGCAGCAGCCAGCGGTAGCAGAAGAAGAGGTCGTCGGCGCCCCGGGACACCAGGTAGGCGTAGAACTCGGGGTCGGAGTAGCGGAGCAGCAGCTTGAGGTGCTGGAACTTGACCGATATGAGCCGGCCGTCGGGCCGGAAGTTGCCCTCCAGGCGCTTCATGATGCCGCAGAAGCAGATGAAGGCGTGGGCCTCGTTGTCCATGACGGCCAAGATGGGCGAGGCGATGTCGCTCATGCCCTGGCAGTACGACACCTGGGGAGAGGGGCAGGAGGGAGAGCACGGCACTTCAGATTGGAGCCACAAGAGGGTCCCCTGCTTCCCCCACCCAGACTTACTGCGGTCCTAATCCTCATCCTAAAACTCCACTACTGTGCAAAAAGACAATGATTTCCTTTTCAAGCTGCGATTTTAAAAAGGGAGACTGAGTGAACTGAGAAATAAAACCCTGCGTGAAGCTACTTGAAAGCAGAGCAGCTGCCCTGCAGCCCAGTACCAGCAAGGCTGGGAGGCGGGAAGCTTCCCCTGTTCTCTCACTTCTCCCCCCGAACTGCAGGGGCGCAGAAGAAAGGTTTGAGGTGAGAGAAGCCCACCAGACCCATCTCTCCCGAGCAGTTGTCCGCCTTCCATCCTCATAACCTCCAGCAACAACCTGGGCGTTATCGAAACGCGTTCCAGACGCCGGAAACGCCCGAATGATCGCTAGCAGCCTCCGAATCCATGGCACTGTGCTCCCCGCACACCCAGACCGCTTTTCCAGAAAAAGAAAATCGAAATGCAGCATAATAATGCTGCAATGAAGGTTTTGCTCAAATTTTCAAGTGGGAAGTAAGAGAAAAAGGACTCGGACCACAGAAGACACTGCTCTGCGCGTGTCCCAGGCTGGCTGGCCGGCGCCAGGGGCCCGCGGGCCTCACCTGCGGGTGGGTGATGGCGTAGGTGGTGAGCAGGTCGGCGAGGGCGGCCAGGTGGGGGCTGTCTTCGGAGCCGGCGTAGTAGGGGTGGGCCCGGTCCGTGCGCAGCACGTCCTTCAGCACGTTGCCCCGGATGAACTCCAGGTCCTCAGGGGTGGTGCGGGCGCCCCACTCCCCCTTCAGCCGGTCGTACTCCCTGGTCTTCCTCTTCATGTAGTCCATGCGCTCCTGGCCCGTCAGCCCGTCCGGGTAGACGTTGAGCAGGTAGCGCCACACCACCTGGAGGAGACGCCACACTGGTCAGGGCCCCGCTGCTCGAACCTGCAGCCGGCGACGCGCACCTCGTCCTGCAGGCCCCTTGCAGGGCACAAACCAAAACACCTCTCAGCTAAACACAATCGCAAGGTTGGAAGGAAGACGGCACCTTCTTTTTGGGAGGAGGTGCACTGGAATGGCTCTGAACAGAGGCCACTGAGGCAAACGCATGACACTGGGTTATATTCGCCAATGTCGGGAGCGACTAGCGTGAACGTCGCAGGATAGCGGTGTGTGAGGCTCCAGAGGAGAAGCAACACAAGCTGCTCGTCCGCGATCCCTGTTCTCCGCCAGGCAGCAGATCGTGTCGGCTGGGATTCCATCTCCTCTTGAAGCACCTGGGCCAACAGGATGCTACTCACTGGGCTCGGGGCCCCACATGCCACCTATCTTCCCAACTCATCCCACGGGTGTCCAACAGCCCTCCAGTCTGATGAGCAACACACCCCCAGCAGATTTTCATCAAGTACCATCACCTTCATCAAGAATTTCAGAATATTCAAGTCCATCGCAGCGGCCTAGACAACACCTGGCTGCACAGCTGAGACACCAGCCTCCAACACACCAACAGCACAACGTCACTGCCCTCTTCAGCAGGGATTAAAAGATCTTTCCTGTGACTTCCACCGAACTTGACATGAACGTCAATGACCTCATCACCTGTATAAAGTGGCTCCGACTCAGTGCTTGAGCAACAGTCTCTCAAGTGGACTGTGGTCTGTCATGAAAGATCAATTAACCAAGATACCAACAAATACATTTGATCAGCATGAAAACTCCACATTCTTTGTTCTAAAAACAATCTTCACACTAAGTGTTTATGTAGTGTATGGCTCTAAAGTTAATACTGGACACGGAAAGGGTTTGCAAAGATCTTAGCAAGATCAAGCTCAGATGAAACTGAGTTAAAAGACGGGTCGTGCACTCCTCAGCTCACTGTGCGGGTCTGCCTTTCTGAAGCGCTCACTAGCTCCCCCTGCCTGCCAGGACCCTACCTTGCGCAGGGAGGGGTCCACACCGCCGTGGTAGATGCGCAGACGCAGCTCCTCGGGCCTGGTGAGCTGGCCGAGGTGGCTCAGGAAGCTGTGGAACTCGGAGTCGCTCAGGGGGGGCTTGAAGGGCTTCACATCTTCTCCATAGGACCAGCTCAGGGCCTGCTGCACCCGGGACAGAGTCCGGCCCACCTGGAGCACACAGAACCCTGTCAGAGGCTGCTGGGGGAATCACGCGTCACGCCAGCTCCACAGGTGAGTTTCCCTCCCCTAAAATCAACATCCTACTCTGACATTCCACTCCTCCGATGTAGCTGCTGACGTGGTCTAGCGCTGGAAACCCAAAGAGGGCGGCGGGCTGCACGCATGACCACAAGGGCCACCCAACACCCAGAGATGTGCAAAACTGCAAAGACACGAATCAGCAAAACTGCAGGCATTCTGTTCTGAAGCACGTTTCAAAACAAAACCATCAATGAAACAAATCTCTGGCATGAGTAAACTGGACACGTTATTTCTGGAAAATAAAGGAAACCTTTTCTGTCTGCAAGGCCTGAAACAGGTAACCCTCCACAAGTCCAGCCGCTGCGTCTCCTGTTCCCACTGTACCCTTGCGGACGTTCAAGGAAGGTCAACCAGCTTAGTTTTCTTCCAGCTTCAGGAAACTTTATTCACGAGTTTCCCCACGAAGCCCAGCCCACAGCTGCAACAGCACAGCTCCAGCACCGGAGAGAGAGCCAGCCTCTGAATCTGGCCGACGACACTGCAGAGTCCACAGGCGCCCGACAGCCACAGGACCGGACCACACACACGCCCCACTCACACGTCACACCCGCCCCTGGCTCCAGAAGACAAAACCAGACTTGTTCCCGAATCCCCGTGACCCTGACCTGGGAGATCAGGGACTGCGTGAAGGGCAGCGCGGCGGCGGCCAGGGATCGCCGCTCTCCGGGAATCAGGTCGGAGCTGATGACGTCCTTGGGGCTGATGATGTCCCAGTCCTCCAGCAGGGGGCCTGCAGAGGCAGGAAGCAAGAACTTCAGCGCCGAGGGCAGCTGGCAGAGCTTCATTAGTGTTCGGCCCCGAACAGCGTGCAGCACCGGTAATCCACTGCTCTTACACACCACTATGTGCACGAGGGCAGTTCAGGCTGTGCTACATTTATTTCAACAATTCACACTGGGTATTAACGTCTCAAAGAGACAAAGGATTATATTGTGCTTATTACATGCTCAAATCTCAGGATTTTCTAAAACCGTTCTCGTAAATTAACTGAAAAAAATCAATAAAGGTCTAAGAAGATCAACGTGCTGGTTGCGGGAGACTGGATCACAAATACAAAGAAATGACGCTTTTCTATGGAGGTTTTTTTTTTAACAAAATCAAAGGCAGAAAGTGCCAAGCGAACACAAGCAGAAGACGCCTCTCACTGTCTTCGGAGGGCTTGATCTCGATTTTGAGCTGCAGGTAGGGCTTGGCAGCGCTGACGAAGGCCGCGTCCAGGTCCCAGTCCGACATGAGCGACAGGTATGCCTCCACCCCCTGCTTGTCCCGCGACAGATAGCTGATCCCAAAATTCCGTTTCCTGAACGATCGTAATGGAGAGAGCGAGCTTCAGTCACGCTGCAGGGCACTGCACACCCCAGAACAATTCAATCTGAACATGCCATAGAGACCTCAGCCCTGAAGCACAGCAACAATTTCAGCCCAATACCCAACTTAAGGCGTTTAACTCTGACTCACGTTAACGTGTTTCCTGTAAGAGAGAGTAACACCAGTGCAATAGACACTGGTGATAACGGTTTCTCTTTGCACAGTAGTTAACTGTAAAAAGATCTACTCTGTCATATGCAACAGAGTACAAGAAAGTACAGTTTTGAAGAGATTAGCTTTAGTTTCTACCAATACTTAATTAACCAACATTTAACATTTATAAACATATCTATAATGATTAATTATTTAAACTACCAAAAATGTATTAACTTAAAAAATCTGACACAATCGGTGTCCCTGGAGCTCACTGTTCCAGAGTGGGTTTCAGCTCCGGGTGTTGTGCTGTGCGGGACAGGGCAGGCGGAGCTGTCCGCACTGCTGGAGCAGCCTCATTTCCATCTGGGAGCTTGTTCTCCCAGACGGGCTGGAATCTCCGGGACCTACAGCTCACTGAAGACGGAGCTCACTAGGGAGCGCAGGCAAACTCTGCTCTTCTGCACGTCACTGCCAGCCCAGTGACTCAATCAGAACCAGCACTGAACCAGGGGACGCAAGTACATTCGCATCCGAGAATACTCCACACAAAGGGATGTGAGGAGCAGGAAAAACGATAATTATTTCTTCCGAGATACGCCCGGATCAGGTCATATTTAAACTTCCAAAAAACAGACGGGGCAGAGGAGCCAAATGCCTTCCTCTTATCTGCAAACTGTCTTTTGTTCTGAGATCCGCTGGGTTCCCCAACACCTCATACACACAGACCCTCTCCCTGCCCCCTCGCCCCGAGCGCCCCCTGCTGACCCGTTGAGCTCAAAGGCCCGGATGAGGATGTGCTGCAGCACTTCCAGGGAGGTGATCTGGGGGTCCACAGCGAAGGAGCGGTACTCCGCAGGCAGGACACCCTCACACTTCTGCCAGGGAGAGAGAGACACAGTCAGGGGGGCTCCGGCCGAGTGAGAGAGCGAAACAAGCACAGTTCACGTGCGCCGTCTTGCAAGAGAGGTACTCGGTCAAAACGGTCTGCAATGTAGAAATGGTGTTACTCAACCCAGCTAAGTATACCCATTTAGGAAAGCATGAAACATGCAAATACATTTTCATACCACTGAACAGCTGCACAATGGAACAGTGGTGAGCACTGCTGCCTCACAGCGCTGAGGCCCGGAGCCAATTTCAGATCTGGGGTACAACCTGTGTGGAGTTAGTATGTTCTCCTCAAGTTTGTGTGGGTTGTTTCCCCACAGTCCAAAGACATGCAAGTGGTAAATTGGCTTCTGAGAACACCAGTCCTGGTGCGAGTGTGTGTGTCTCTGTGCGTCAGCGCTGTGACGGACTGGTGTCCTGACTTGCGCCCATTTGCCAGGATACACTCCTGCCCCCCCCCACGCCCCTGAATTGGATACAGAGGTTAGAAAATGTCTGGATAAACAGCTGTAAGGAGAGACAAGAGGACATAGAGGGAGAGAAGGCAGCGCAGCTCAGACAAGCCAGAGCCAGCAAGGTCTGCTCTAGCCCTACACGACTGGCCTTTGGCAAAGAGACAAACCTGCAGGCGAACTCCTGTCAGGATGTCCTGGGTTTGTCTCCCTGCGGGTCACCGCTGATTAAAACCACAACTCAAAGCACAGCTGACTCTCATTTAGCACCGTATATTCTCTTCTGCCAAGGCAACACCTGTCCTAGGATGTACCACGTTCAGCGACACAAAGACAAGGGGGCCCTGTTGACACCTGACCCCGGTCCGGCTCCCCGCTGCGCCGGGTCAGGTCCAGTCTCCCGGACACAAGAGCAGCTCTGCTCGTCTGCACGGCCGCAGAAGGAAAGCGTTGAGCTCTTACTTCCAGGGGCAGTTTGCTCAGGAGTACCCGGGGCCGAATTCAACCGCACAGCTGCCCGTTCGTCCAGACCCGCGGAGGGCCAGCCGGGCAGCTGGCGACCCCCACCGCCGGGCACAGCCCAGGACTGCGGGCTGCGTCGTCTTTCGCCCTCCGTGTCCAGGACAAGCGCGCCCTGCCTCGTTTTTATGTGGCCGCTGGTACAAAACGACAAAATGGCAGCTTATTCACTTAAAACGGTCCTCTTTTTTTCCCCCTGACTTGCCTTACCTGACGCTCACTCCAGACATAACCGTATAACCGGCTGACCGGAGACCGCGGCTGTCGCCTCTGTCAAATGGGGTCACAACAACAGCCCAGAGCCAACACGCCACAGCCGGCCGGGCTGGACAGCAGCAGCTCTCGGGGTGCTGCGGGGGGCGCCTGCCCCGGGCTCACTGCGAGTTATTGTCGGGGCGACTCTCACCTTTACCCGGACTCGCACGACCCCCCTCTCCTCCTCGCCCGCCATGGCGCCCAGCGGCCGCGCTCACCGCCGCGACGATGCTGATCTCGATTCGCTCTTTAACCTGCCGGCTCCTTAATTCCGTGGGTTTTTTTTTTCTCCTTCTTTTGAAAACAGAAACCTCACTGTGTCATGTTGGCCCACAGCTGTTTGCGTCGGGCCGCCTCCTCCTCGCTCTCCAGGATGTGACGTCACTGGCATTACATCATTCAGGAACCGCGGCGCGCGCGCGGGCCGAGGGTTTAAAGGGACGGAGCTCCCGACGCAAACACGTGGACTGAGACTCCAGTCCTTGTCAGCCCGCATGACAGCCCTGTAGTCACACACCTGAACCAGCTGCCCCTGAGTCTACAGAATTGCTGTTACCTCTATACTACACCTGTCTCAGAACTGACTTTCTAAAAGAATCACAGTCATTACCATACCGACACTTTCAATCACAGAAATACTGACCGGGACCTTTGGAAGTTTAAGCAAAGCTTAAAGCTGTCTTTAGAGTAGAAAGGATCGATGTTTATTTTTCTGACAAGAATATGCAGAAGCAGAGACAGGGGAAATGAGACTCCGACTCTGTCCGGGACAGGAGCGGCTCCCAGTGGTCTTCTGGGAAAGACCCAGAAACACGGACACCTGGACATCAGCTCAGAGGAGCTCCTGCGGTTTCTCCTTCAGATTGCTCTGGTGTGCAGTTAGAAACAGAAAGACTGAACACTGCTTTATTGTTGAAATAACTGATCCGATATCGAAGGGTATATTTTATCAATTGTAAATATGAAACATTGCATCGAAACCGGCATCAGAAGCCAATTTGCTGGCATGTTGGGCTGCGGGGGAGATCTGGTTCACCGATGGCGCAGAACGCGCGTTGATCTTTCCGAAGGGCTCTGTGCGCGTTTGTGTATAGACTGCCGCTGCTGTGACTGTCCGGCGGGTTCGGGTGGTCGGGTCCCGGGGCTTCCTGCACTCGTCCAGCAGCCCCGCCATGACGAGCACAAACACAGCTTCCTGTCCCAGTCCCAGTCCCAGTGCCTCATCACGCCAGCCTCACGCCCAGCAGCTGGTTCAGGAAGATCCCCACCAGCCTGTGACCCCAAGCCCAACCTCACTGCAGCAGGGCACAGCGCTGCAGCACCTGAACACGTTAACACAAACTGCACACTTACAAACTCTCCATGAACGCGTCCTTCCGTGACTCTAATTCAACCCACTTATAATAAAGAAAATTACTCAAGTCTTAGCTCCAATCGATATCTTTATTACACACAAGGTTAACTGCACTACCACAGTTATAAAAGTATACCAGTAATGGCACCTTATACAGGACTGTATCTCTGGGTGTTTGTAGTGCTCCATGCAGAAAGACAGACACTTTCTAATTACTTTCAACGTCTTTGTAAGCAGTGTGGCATATTTCAGTGTTGGACTGGATCAGAAGAGTCTCTCCGTCAGCAGTGCCCAGCAGTGGGGGCTCAGCAGGATGCAGTCCTGTCCCACACTTCTCTAGAGCCACTCACTGGAGCACACAGGACTGTTTAACACCTCCACTGTAAGCGGCCTTGTAGACTGAGAGACTCATTACATATGACACAAACAATGCAAACAGCGCTGCTCGTGCTAAACAGGACACATTAATGCAGTACTCGCTGAAGTAGCTCAAGCAGGGATCTGCGTCAGCATGCATAGTCTGCAAAGGAACAAGTGAACACTTATTCCATGGAGGTGTGTGCGACACCTGAAGAAGGCTCCACAGCTGAAACGTTGCGTTTCTTTTCTTCTCTTTTCAACATGGAAAAACCCTTTACTTGTTCTTTTGTGGTATTTGCTGTTTGCAATCTGTGTAATCTGTACAGGAGCTCAACGCTAAGCCAATGGCGATGCTCCAGCGTCTGTGTGACGGGCTGCCGCCTGCCTGCACCCGTCTCCTCTAGGTGAACATCTTGCTGAGCGCGCGGCCCAGCTGGCAGCTGATCGCCTTCTCTCTGGCCTCGATGTCTCTCAGAGCCCTCAGGGCCGACGCCGAGCCGGGCTGCAGCTCTAGAACCCTTGTGAGTCCGGTCCTGGCCGCATCCAGCTCCCCCAGCTCGGAGCAAGCCAGCCCCAGGCGGAACCAGGCCTTGGTGCTGGCCGGATCCAGCTCCGTGGCCTGAGCAGCGCTGACCCTGGCCTTGTGAGGCTGGCCGAGCTTGAGTTGGCACAGGGACATGTTGGCGTGAAGCTCGGACCTGACCCTCCGGTACTCCCCCTCCGAGACGCTCTGGCCCTCGGTGGCTTTGTCCTCGTCCCCCCGATCGTCCGGGCTCGAGCCCAGCGCACCGCTGGCTCCCGCCCCCCCCCTGCTCAGGGTGGCCAGCAGCCGCAGCGCCCTGCCGTAGCAGTCGGCGGCCCCCCACACGTCCCCCGCCCGGAACCTCTCGCCGCCCCTCTGCTTGTGAGCCCTGATCCAGGCCCACTTCTCCGGCAGGCTCATCTCCCAGGACTCCCGGCCGGGGCTGAAGGACTGCAGCTCCACTCGGAGGCGCTGGCAGGGGGGAGGAGGCGCCCCGTCCCGCCACCCAGGCTGCGCCCCCTGACCTCCGCCCCGCTCCGCCACTCGCCCCTTGGGTCCCGTGTTGCTGTCCAGGGCTGTCACCAGCAGCTGTGGTTTCAGAGGAAGAGTGTGGACACAAGGTTAACAACGATCGGCTGCGCTGTGAAGAATTAGAGTTTGATTATTTACCGTTTGAAAGCAGGTAAATTAAAAGCTAATTGTGACTCTGACTAGTCAGCATTCTGTCTAAAGGAATGAAAGAAGCTCATCCACTCAGAACAGGACACAGATCCCCGAGTTTTCTTAGTCCCAGTCAAACACACAAGTGCTTCCGTTTGAAAGAGGAATCCCAGTGCACAGCACGACCGGAACAGCCTACAACTACAGTAGAAAGCAGGAATACCAGTGAACAGACTGCCCTCCTCTTTAACACCCAGATAATCTGTCTGTGCACCTTTTAACACATTCATCCTCAATGTCAGACATTGTTCTAAATATCAGAGGTCCGGTTATCACTGTGCACTCGTGTGTTACCATGACTTACAAACACCTCGATCTGTCTTTCCATGACAAATGTTTTTCATATTCAAAGGAGCAAATAATTCCTACCAGGTTAATGTACACTGCTAGAACAAGCACACACCCATGGGGAATGAACTATAAAAACAATGCAATTTAAATACAAATGTTTCCTTATTTCAAATAACAGAGACACACCTGGAAAATACAAACTTGCAATCCTCTCTTTGTCAATAGAAGGACCAGACTGTCTGTGCACATCACACACCCCTC